ATCTCCACTTTTATAAGACCTGTTGCCAACAACAGCCGTGGGAGCTCAGAGCTGGAGCAGGGAGCTGACACCACAGGCAAGTTAAAACTGTTTCAGGGCTTCACACTGACACGTTACCAGTGGGAGCCCATGCAGTGAAGCCTCTGTCTCTGCCTGACCCAAGCTCATTTCAAGCTTCCTTCTTGGGATGAAAGGGTTTGGGGATGTTCCTTGGCAATTCTGCTCGGCAGCCTTTTGCCACAATGGCTTCTAACTCCCACCATCCTGGAGACCTGTGGTCCCCAAACCTCCTCAATCAAACCGCCCTCATCAAGGCAATGGCATCTGCCTTCCCCAGTGTGAACAGGGGCAGAGATGAAAGCACGACTTTCTCGCATGCCTTCACTAGTTCTCTAGAAATGTCCTTAGGCAATTCTTAAATATACTCTGCCTTCTTGGTCACAGCCCAGAGTTGTGACCCCATTTCTCAAAGGACACCCTCCTGTCCCCTCTCTTTTCTAGCTTCCAATAGAAGACATGAGAGGGGAGACAGCCTGACCTTCTCCCACAACTTCCAGTCGTATATGGACATCACTGGGACACTGGCTAAGAGTCCCCACCGCCTCGTTCAGGACCAGAAGACGCCCAGGTAGCCAACTGCCAACACAACTTATCGTTCTTCCACACTTTTTGACCTCCTGTTCTTCCCACAGGCTTGGCTCCATCAGCAGGACACTTCCAGACAGCGACGGCCCGAGGGGGGATGCAGGGTGCTGTGCCCAGGGGAGGGCAGGACGGGCAGCGGGGCCGGGGAGGGGAACGGCAGCACGGGCTGCAGAAGGCAAAAGGTGACAGGCTTGTGCAGGGACTGATGCACCGGTTCAGAAATGCTGCTGAACAAGCCCTGTGCACAGCAACTATACAGCATGTAAACGTCTTGCCCAGCCTTCCTCTTCTCTTCCTTCCCTCCTGTGCCTCCTGTACGCTGCATGGCCTGTTACGTGGGTTTTGAGACAGGGAGGCAAGGGACCACACTGTGGTGACTATACATAAAGAATAGGAAGAGGTGGAAAAATACATAAACCCCATGTGTTCTGTTCTCACAGTTTTATCACCCATCTCTTGGTGTTTGGCATTTTCCTCCAAGCTCCAATACCTGGCTTCACATCAATTCATGGACTCCAGCTTTCATCTGAAAAAATTATAATTACGTGACATTCCAGCTACTATTGATGTGGAGAAGTGGTGCAAGTCAGAATCTGAAATATTCATAATCCAGATGTTAAAAAAAAAAAAGAAAAAGAAAAAGAAAAAGACTTTGATTTCAGAGTGAGCCATGATTTTCAGACAATCTGACTCACCATTTCTGAATGCTTCGGTTTGGCAGCCCTGTATATATTTAGTAATACAAACCCTGACTTGCAGCTTCCAATGAGAATCCTAACAGCATGATAAGACAGATGTTCATTTCATTCACGTCATTTCCAAATATCATGAAATTCACTTAACAGCAAGAGTCGTAAAAGCTGTGAAATGGTCTCCCTGCGGAGGAGAAGAAACCTCCTGACTACACACTTGAACAGCTGAGCAAACCAACAGAGAGCAGGCAGCAGCAAACGGCTCTTTACTTTCTGGCCAAGGGACAGAGCAGACGATCCCAGACACGTTTTCCTCTTAATTTCTCCTGGCTCTGGGCACTGCTAATCAAGACCTCATACCACAGCCACTGGAGCCCTTCTCATATCCAACGGGAGAAACAGCAACTTCTGCATGAGGAGCACACGGCTTCAAGGGAAAATACTGTTGCAAACCATTTAGGACTTCACAAGGAGTAAGGAACCTGTGCCAGTCTTTGAGAATGCATTCAAAGCATCTTCATCCAGCAGTTAGAACTGCATTTTTTACATTAAAATCCCTTAGGCACTTGGAGTCTGTGAGATTTTTTTTCCATTGCCTATCAAGCAGTGGTATTAAAAATTATGTCTTTGGCAGCACAGCCAGCCTGAGTAGATGCGAGATGATTTTCATCTATTCATTCTAGACCATCTGCTTCTTACCTTCAACTTTCAAAGGCCTTGAATGAGATGCAGGCCACTGAATTTTATAGCTAAATTTCACGAATCTCTTTGAAAATTAAAGGATTGCACAGAACACAAATTTAGAGACATCAAAGGGACCTTCCCTTTTCATACAAGCACTAACAGCAGTGCAAAGGAAACTAATTACAATTTGCTCTATTGCCAGTTTTCACACTGGAGCAAATACAAGCACTTTATGCTTTAAACCTTACAAACCCATGGCTGCCAGCTTAATATACTCCTAAAGCCAGGACCAAATTAATAGACTAAAACCATCTTGCATCCACTCAGACAGGCAACGAAGCCAAAAAGAGCTGTCAGGCTAGCTCATGGAAAAACTCTGGTTTTGATCTCTGCTTTGTTTTAAAAATAAATAAATCAATATTTCTTTACATATTCAATGGCAGTGTAAACACTAATTCAGCTTTTTCAATAGCAAAGCTATTCCATAGGTACTTTTTAATGAGCTGATCTTCACCCATGCTGCCGACAGAGCCTGGAGGGAACGGAATCAAAATGGCAGCTCCTCGTAAAAAGTATGTGAGGGTTCAGGGATCTCAGCCAAACGTGGCTGACTCAGGATCTGCTGACTCCAGCGGCTGAAATCATTACGTAGACATGGGAGTTCCAGGCAGGCAATGAAGGAGAAGAGATGCCCTAAATTGTGAAGCAAGATGCAGGTGAAGTTGTGAAAACCAAGGAAATCATAGCAGAGCATTAGGCTTCTAGTCCAAACACAGACCTGCACATGTGCTTTGCAGCAAGGGTGATGGTAGGGTGCAGTGACACTGATGCCACTTAAAATCAATGAAAAGTGAAGCTGGGGGAAGAACCTCCCTTTGATATTTGATCCCTGCCCCACCAAGCCAACAAGCCCTGGGCCAAAGCAGGTACTGACTGGCCAGGGCAGGAGCTTTTCCTGCTCCCCAGTGTGGCCTTAGACACAGTGTTATATCTTCCAGAGATCTACAAGCTTTCTGATTTACAGTTCACAAAAAACCTAACAGAGCACCTACAGAGGTGTCTTAGTTTCCATTCCCCAATCTTTCAGGACACAGCTTGGTGGGTACTGCTGCATCAGTGAAGTGCATAAAGTGACACCAACAGTCACCTTCGCACATTCTTCATACTGTCAGTGGTGTAAGCAAAGCTGCTCGGATCCTGGGGCCATGGAGATGGAATCACATTTTGATGCTGAAGGCAACGCTATGGCACTAGCTT